ATATGTATGAATATATATATATATACACACATATATATGGTCATACATACTATGTTCATACATAATTGAACACACAGTTAGTTACATGCACAAACAGGAGCCCATCTAAGCATGCCCAGTCATAGACATAGGCATTGCCATCCAGAGGCCCACATACACACCAAGAATCTGGCTGGCTGGCTGCCCCATCTCATTCCTCCTCACTGGTGCAAATGAATGAGAAGACACTCCTGCTGAGCTCCCCAAGGCAGCTGTGGGATGTTCAGAAATCATGTTCCATGCAGGGTCAGTTATCCTTTAATATCCTGCTGCCTCAAGTGGGTTGCAAAGATGATCTATAGGAGAATTGATTGCCAGATGCAGATCTGACAACCTCAACCCAGATGGCAACAGGCACTGGGCATTAATTGAGTCACGTTGAGTTAGGAATCAGGGCTCAATCAAAGCTATGCTGGGGCCTGCCTTGTGGCAGGCCCCAACAAAGACTAAATCTTAGCGCCAGCCCCAGCTCATCTGAGAAGCCTGACTTAGAGATATGTCCCACAATTGCATAGTAATGTCTCTTGAGCAAAGGCAATAAATATTTAGGTGTTAATGACCATTTCTGAAATCGTAGCCAGCATGAAGACTGTAGGGTCAGGTGAGCTGGGCCAGTATAGGTAACATGTACAGTTATCCCCTCCATATCCCAGGGGTTAGGGAAGTAGTGCCCCCACGATCTGGAAAACCCACATAAAATTTTTTGGCCTTCCCTTTGTACCAGAGAATTCTGAAGTATTATGGTATTAAAAGATAAAATATGTTGATATTATATGATAATATACATATTTGTATGCATTTCTGAGTTTCTGAACTTTTTCTGCATTGTCTGCTGACCTTCACGTGTCATCTGTGGCTTCTGCAAAACTCCCCAAAATTTCTCATTCAATTTCTTATGCCAACCTGCAATATAGGGAAACTGCAATGGGGAAACTCACAATGTGGATGTACTACTTTTTCACGCAACTCACACATGGAATGATCTAGCATGGTGAAAAGACAGTGGTTTTGGGTTAGCCTAGGAAGATGAAGGCTAGGCCACCTGGGCATCATCATTGTCATCACAGCAGCCCACATTTATATGGGCTAGGTACCTATGATTACAATAGTACAGGGAAACCTGGATAAGGAAACTCCCTCTACCAGTTCAGGTCAGCACCTTCTCCTCAACTTATAGAATTAAGAGTCCTAGGGAACTGGGTCCCTGAAGGGGTTAAGTAACTTGACAAGGGTAACGAAGCCAATAAGGGTCAAAACTGGAACTTGAACCTAGGCCTTCCTAGCTTTGAAGCTGCCTCTCTACCCTCTATGGCATTCTGCCTCTCTTCACATTTGTGTGTGGATTTTTTAATATAGTGAGTGCTTGATACTTCTCAACTCATAACACAGGTTCATAATTCAGTGGATAGAATACTAGACCTGACATCAAGACCACCTGAGTTCAAATCCAGCCTCAGATACTTTCTAGCTGTGCAACTTTAGGCAAGTCACTTAATCTTTATCTGCCTCAGTTTCCTCATCTGTAAATTGGGGATAATAACAGCATCTAGCTCCCAGGGTTGTTGTGAGGATTAAAAGTTAATATTTGGCTTTTCAAATATTTTTTGTTAAATATTTCCCAATTACATATAAAACATTTTTACCATTCATTTTTTTAAATTTGATTTCCAAATTCTCTCTCTCCCTCTAACCCCTTGAGAACACAAGCAATAAGATGTCAATTTATACATGTGAAGTCATGCAAAACATATTTCCAGATTTGCCATGTTGTTACACAACACACACACACACACACACAAAAGAAAAATAAAGAAAGTAAAAAAGTTCATCAGTTCTCTCTCTGGGGGTGGACAGCATTTTTTACCATCGGTCCTTTGGAATTGTCTTGGATCATTGTCTTGATCAGAGTAGCTAAATTCTTCAGAGTTGATCACCCTTACAATATTACTGTTACTGTGTACAATGTTCTCCTGATTCTTCTCACTTAACTTTGCATCAATTCACATAAGACTTTCTAGGTTTTTCTAAAACCATCCTGCTTGCCATTTCTTTAGCACAATGGTATTCCATCACAATCATGTACCACAAAAAAAGAGATGCTATTTGTAAAGCACTTTGAAAATCTTAAAAAGTATATACCAAACCTGGTATAGTTGAAAGTTATATACCTCTTCTCCTCCTCGGCCTTTGGGATATGATGGTTTCCACCACACAAATCCAAAATTGTAAACGTCTAGCTGCCTAGAAAATAGTTCAGGGCATATTAAATTTCTAACATAGTATATGTGGTACTGGTACATCCAAGTCCTGTTGTTCAAAGTCTGGTGATCTGTGTAGAACCATATTTTCCCGATCTTCTTCTATACTACAATTATGGGTCATACATGTGTACTGTCGGGTCCTGTGATGATACTGTTCATCAGACCAGTAGGTCTTCTAGATTGTTTCTGAGATCTCCTGTCACACATAGAGGAATCTCCCATGAACACTGATAGAGATCAGGAGTCAGTGAGGTGGATGGTATAGGTTGTACCTTAGGCACATCCCACATCCCACCCTTACAATGAGAATACACTTGTTCTACTAATTTTCATCCTCAAAACTGGTTTTTCTATTCTTCAGGCACTAGAGAGACATCAAAACCAAATTTCTCTGGATTCACTCCTGAGTTGGAGGAATCAGGGTCCTTTGGAGATTTGCTGCAACCGATTGCTTCTATCTTCTATAAGTTTTGGCATGGACTACATGGATTGTGAAGGTGTTCAGGAAGTGGATCCCAGATTTCTGCTTGCAGTATATTGCAAGTACCTGGAATAAGCTGGAGTTAATCCCAATCAATGCTAATATTCCAGAGATGTTCTTCAGTTCTGGACATAGCCATAGTGATTGAAAAATAAGACAAACTGGGGCAGCTAGGTGGCACAGTGGATTGAGCACTGGCCCTGGAGTGGGAGGACCTGAGTTCAAATCCGACCTCAGACACTTGATACTTACTAGCTGTGTGATCCTGGCAAGTCATTTAACCCTATTGCCTAGCAAAATACAAAAAAAAAAAAAGGAAAAAAAGAAATAAGGAGACCTAGTTCCATAACAAACAAAAACACATTTTAAAAAAAGGGCAGCTAGGTGGCACAGTGGCTAGAGCTCTAGCTTTGAAGTCAGGAAGAACTGAGTTCAAATCCAGCCTCAGACACATAACACTTACTATCTGTGTGATCCTGGGCAAGTCACTTAGCCCCTATTGCCTCACAAAAAAAAAAAAAGGAAAGAAAAGAAAAAGAAAAATAAGACAAACTACCTTCTTGTAGCAACAATGATTGGCTTAGTGAACTTCAGGTTCTCTCTTCAGGGTAGCCAAAGAGGGATAGTCCTTGACACTATTCATATAGTCCTAGCACTTTAATAAGCTACAAAGGAGTTTCTCTTAAATTGAGCAACTACAATACAATGGTTGATTGGAATCCACTGTCCAGCATGAACACTCTCTAACTTCAGTCTTGATGGCAATTTTTTTTATTTTGATTTATCAACAATCACTTCCATATGTTTTTGAGTTGAAAATTTTTCTCCCCCTTCCTCCCCACCACCCTCCCCCAAGACAGTGCGCAATCTGATATAGGCTATACATTTACATTCCTATTAAACATATTTTCGTATTAGTGAAGTTGTAAGTAAAAATTAAAACCAATAGGAGGAACCATTGGAAAGATGAAACAAAACTCAACAGAAGGTAAAAATAAGTGATAGCGATTCGACTTCCATAGTTCTTTCTTTGGATGTGGACAGCATTTTCCATCCCAAGGCCTCTGGAGATGTCTTAGATCCTTGTAATGCTGAGAAGGGTTCAGTTTAACAATATTAGTCATTGCATAAAGTGGCTATTATTGTGTACAAAGTCCTCTTGGTTCTGCTCACTTCACTCAGCATCAGACTATATAAGTCTTTCCAGGTTTTTCTGAAGTCAGCCTGTTCATCATTTCTTATAGCACAATAGTATTCCATTACATTCATGTACAACTTGCTCAGCCATTCCCCAATTGATGGGCATCCTCTCAATTTCCAATTCTTTGCCACCACAAAAAGAGCTGCTATAAATATTTTTGTACATGTGGGTCCTTTTCCCATTTGTATGGTCTCTTTGGGATATAGCCCTAGAAGTGCTATTGCTGGATCAAAGGGTATGCACATTTTTATAGCCCTTTGGGCATAATTCCAAATTGTTCTCCAAAATGGTTGGATCATAACTCCACCAACAATGCATTAATGTTCCAATTTTCCCACATCTTCTCCAACATTTATCATTTTCTTGTTTTGTCATGTTGGCCAATCTGATAGGTGTGATGTGGTACCTCAGAGTTGTTTTGATTTGCATTTCTCTAATCAATAATGATTTAGAGCATTTTTTCATATGACTATAGATGGCTTTAATTTCTTCACCTGAGAACTGTCTGTTCATACTTGATGGTAATTTTTGCAGGAGGTCATGTGTCCAGGTAGAATGGTATCACATGATGAGCTCACACCTAGTTTCTTTTGGGTCCAGGGTAACTTCTGGTTTCTGACCCTGTCCTTTTTCTAGATATTGATTCAATGGGCATCAGCTTCTGACAGACAAAGCCTGTACTCTCCTCTTGAATACATCTGACATACACGTGGTCATTTGTTGTTATTCAATCGTTTTTCAGTTGTGTCTGACTCTGTGATCCCTTTGGGGGTTTTCTTTCTAAGATACTGGAGTGGTTTATCATTTCCTTCTCCAGTTCATTTTACAGATGAGGAAACTGAGACAAACAGGGTTAAGTGATCTGCCCAGGGTCTCCTAGCTAGTAAGTGTCTGAAGCCAGATTTAAACTCAGGAAGAGGAGTCTTTCTGTACCACCTAAATGCCCCAATGGTCATTTAGGACACATATTTTCCTGATGTCTTTTTTGTATCATCATAGTTTTCCCCAGAATACTCACCCCATGCACAGAAGTGCCCCAGAGCTATCCCATATAACAAATAATATTTTCTGAAAGACAAAAAGAAAAAGGAGAGAAAAAATCAGCACAACCTATCAATATAATTAAAGTCTTGAAACATGCACAAAGCCAAACACCTGTGACATCTATGACAGTGGGGGTAGGGAGAAGGGTTAGGAGCTTCCTCTCTTATCCCTTAGTTCAAGCCATGTTTATTCTTTATAATTCTGCAACATTCACTTTTGATTTGTGTGTGTATGTATATGTGTGGCTGCTCTTTCTATTTACATGGTTGTAGTCATTGTATAATATTGTTTCCTTGGCTCTGCTTATTTCACTCTGCATCAGTTCATATAGATAAGTCCATGTTTCTGTTTTCATCATACTCATTTCTTACCCTCAGTAATATTCTATTATATTCATGTACCACAATTTATTTAACCACTCTTCAATTGATGGACATTTACTATCTAAGTCTTTGCTTTCAAAAAAAAGTGCTATTATACATATTTTGGTATACATGATGACTTTCTTCTTATCAATGGTCTCCTTGGAGTATATGTCCAGTAATGGAATCTCTGGATTAAAAGGTATGGACATTTTAGTCACTTTATTTGCATAATTATATACTGTTTTCCAAAAAAGTTGTACCTATTCACAGCTCCACCAATAATGCATCAGTGTGGCTATCTTCCCACAACCCCTCTAACACGGAGTATTGTCATCTTTGCCAATATTCAGGGTGTGCAATGAAACCTCAGGAGCCAAAATTCTTAAAAGAAGATACTTTTACTCGTCTCTTGCTCTCCATTGATGGTGTCCTTGCATCAGAATGTTGGGACTCCTGCCTTTTCCAGGTAGAATAGTTCTGTCCGCTGTTCCATTTCTAAACAGAGTTTTCACAAGCTCCTGACTTTGAGTCTTCATGGTTTTTCTCAATTTAGATCACTATTTGAAGCTCCAACAGCATTCTTGCACTAAATGACTTTACCAAAATTCTGGCGGCTTCTGCTCTAACTTAAGACCAATCAAGTACATTTTTAGCTCTCTCGTATCTTTTCATACTTACTCTATGCTAACTTCATCCACTTCTTCAGGTTTGATTCCTTCTTACTCTGTCAATTACTAGTCAACTGTCCATGCAAAATCTGAGAATTTCCCCTTGTATTGTGTGGTAGACTGGATGAATTTAGTATATTTTTGCTGTGGTATCTCACCATCATCAAATTGCTTGGGCAGTCTTTGCAAGAATTCTTGCTGTATGACTTCCGGCTCTGTGGCTCTCAGATTCTGCACAATTCCAGAATTAGCTGAAGACTTTCTAGCAGCTTACTCCATTTTTCTAACGTAGATGTATACTAATGTTATTATGTTTTAATCATATGGCTGATCCAAACTTTTGCATGGTTCTTTCCCGAAAGGATATGGATCCTTTTCTGAGTATATTCTTAACTTAGTCCTGTAGTTTCCCTATGGCATAAAAGACCCAGACACAGTACCATATACTGGCAAATACAGAGGCCTACAAGCATGTCTATTCTCCTCAACTGGCTTTTTTCCCCAAAATCAGTCCTGATCATTGTTTTTCAGATATTCTCTCACTGATTATTAAAGGTTTAACTCTACTTAGTATCCTCTTATCTTTTGTGAAAGACCTGCTAATCAGTGTCTAAGTGTTCATAGAAATTCCTATTCTAACAGTAATTTTAGAATTTTATTTGTTCGGATAATTTACAGAAAACACAAGTCTTTGCCTCCTCATATTTTAAATGAACACTTCATATCATCCTAAAATATCTCTACTATCTCACAGAATGTTCCTGTTGTCCTTATATTTTAAGTCATGAGCAATTTCCTTAATTAGCAAACCACTGTGTGGTTCCAGGTACATGGCTGTACACCAGTGATCCAGGGATACAACATTAATATGCTCGTATCAGCTTCTATACTAAAAATGGATTCATTAATATAACAGATATCAGTACTTAAGCATTCAACCATGCAAAAATTATCTTAAAGCACCAGGTGTGTCTTGTAAGAGAAACATAGTAAAATTGGCTCTCTAACCTAAGCCTACACAGCTTGAACACAAAAGAAAAAAAAAAATACTTTTTCCAAGTGGATTCCTGTGATACCACGACATTAATGATGGAAATCCCAAATGAGTTCCCCTGGTATAGCAGCCCTGAAATCACAAAGCAGTTTCTGCCAAAGGACTATTACACCCAGGGTTGAGGCCTTATGTGTGTCACCTAAACCACAGTTCATGATTCTATACCAATATTTTTACCTTCTTGGTAAATTGGAGCATACAATTAGTTCAAAGCAAGGTCATGTAATGAAATGATGCAAGAACAAATAGTAATCAAACTCAAAGACCTGGGATGCACTTTCCCTCAAATCCATACAAACATCAGTGGGAAGACTGGACCCATTTAGAGAACACAGGTGGAGTAGCACAAATAAGAAGTGTGGTCAAGGCAGAAACAAGGAGAAGCACACACACATGGAATATAGGTGTCCAGGGCACATACATTGCTAGGAAAACTCATACCTCTAATGCTTTAGAGTTGTTGGTATCTATTAATGATACCATTGAATTGCTCCTGCCAAACCTGCTTACTGGTGGTCTCATAGTCTCTGCCTGACAATGCTCAAATGGGTATAGCACCATTGAATGCTATGTGGCTAGATACATAATTTCTGCCAGATGATTCTCATTTAGATGTTGCTCATAGATTCCAGCTTATGACTCAGGTTCTCTTCATCAAGAGAAGAGTGGACTTTGCCATGCTCTTTAACCTTACTTAGCTCCTATGTTTTTCCTTGCTATTGCTCTTTTATGAAAGGCAGAAACCCTTCTTAGGACCATAAAAAACAATCTGCCCTTGGTTCTTACGTGGTTTTCCTATGACAACCTTGTCTTCAAAGTCTCTCATTTCCCCAGGAAAAGATTCTCATCACCAAGCTCTTTAGATTAAAGAGTTAGAGTCTAAGGATTGGGTTCAAAGCCCACTTCTGCCATTTACTACCTTGTGACTCTGGTCAAGTTATTCAAACTCTCTGGGCCTCAATTTCCTCATCTACAAATTGAAGGAGTTGACCTAACAATTTTAAGGCCTTATTTAGCTCGGAGGCAGCTAGGTGGCTCAGCAGATCGAGCACTGGGCCTACAGTCAGGAAGCCCTGCGTTCAAATATGGCCTCAGACACTTATTAGTTGTGTGACCCTGGGCAATTCATCTAACCTCTGTTTGCCTTAATCCACTGAAGAAGAAAATGGAAAACCACTCTAGTATCTTTGCCAAAAGGAAAACCCCGTGGACAATACTGCCATGCTATGGTCCACAGGGTTACAAAGAGTTGGACACAACTGAACAACAACAAATTAGCTTTAAATCTGTGATCCATAGCTAACCCTCTCTCACAGGTAACACAAAGCATTAATATTTATGTGATAAAGCTACTGCTAAGAACACCAATTTCCTCATCAGGCCAACCCAAGAGATACTTCGGATCAGGAGGCCTTTGGGAGCACCTCATTTCAAATTGGGGAGACACTGTACATTCAGCATGTAGGACCTTCTGATTTAGGGAACAGCAGCTTTCTGACAAAACATCGGGTCTAAGATCTTTGTCCCAAACTTCCTAGACTGACCAGGAAAATGCAGCCCTGCCTCAGGGTAGAGACAAACATAGGCTACTCACCCCATCCATCTCTGTCTGCAATATTTACTGAGTTACTTCTGAGTAGTGAGGCCTCCAGAGTACTGAATGTTTCCTTCAGCACTTCCCTGACTACTAGACCTTCTTTGAGTACTAAGCCTTATTTTTTTTCCTCAGAGGAAACTAGGATGATGAGAGAATTGGAGGACATCTCATATGAGACTTGATTAAAGAAGCTGGGGATGTTCTGTCCTAAGAAGAATATACTTTGCAGAGGGTGGTTAAAGACACGATTGTTGTTGTTCAGTCATGTCCAATTCTTTGTGACCCCATTTGGGGTTTTCTTGGCAAAGATACTGGAGTGGTTTGCCATTTCCTTCTCCAGCTCATTTTACAGATGAGGAAACTGAGGCAAACAAGGTTAAGTGATTTGCCTAAGGTCACATAGCTAGTAAGTGTCTGAAGCAGGATTTGAACTCATAAAGATGAGTCTTCCTCATTCCAAGCCCAATGCTCTATCCACTGGGCCGCCTAACTGCCAGACCCATGATAGCTGTGTTCAAATATTTCAAGGGCTACGGCTTGAGAGAGAGATTACAGCTGGGTTTGTTTTTTTTTTTTTTTGGCTATAGCAGACAACACTAAAAGCAACGGATGGAAGCAGCAGAGGTAGATATTTGATATTATATGTATATAATTATATCATATATATTACATTATATAACAATACATAACATAATATATAAATATGTGTGTGTGTGTCTGTGTCTGTGTATGTATTTAATCTTCCTAACAATGTTAGGAAAAAATGAAATATGTTGTCTTAGGAGATAGCTCCTCCCTCCTCCACTGGAGGTCTTCAGGAAGAAACTGGATGATTACTAGTTGTGAATGTTGAAGAAGGGATCCTTAGCAAAGTATGGTCTGAACTAGATAGGCTTCAGGGGCCCCTCCCAGCTCTTAGATTTTGTGAGTACTGAAAAACCTCCTTGAGTCCTAAAGAGATCTCTCTGGGAGGCACAGTAATAGAGCAAAAAAGAACGGGGCACTCAGAGTTTGTAGTACCGAGACTAAATCTCAAGTCCAATGATTAGCAGTCATGGGGTCGGCTGTAGCCAAAGCACTTTGCGCCCCACCTTTAAACCTCAGTTTTAGCTATAAAATGGGAATAATAATATCTGATCTACATACTTCACAGGATTATTTCAAGGAAAGTTCTATATAAATGTCAGTTATATCTCTGACTGAGCATTATATAGAAAGAGAAGTCCAAATGGTGCCCTGTGGAAGGAGGAGGGGACATAGGAATGAATCCTCAAGCAGGTGAGCACTTTACTACCCAGCATGTCATTTGGTCCTTTTAGATTAGACCAATGGACAGCAAT